TACAGCAAGGCACAGCTGCTCGACGACATCCGCCACCGCCGCACCCGCAAGCCGATGCTCTACGTCAACGTGCGCGAGCGCGGGCTCATGCGCTCCATTCCGCTGCAGAAGAAGGACCTCAAGTTCAAGGGCCGCATGCTCTACACGGACCTGTGGGCCGCCATCCGCCGCAGCGACCCGCAGCGGCTGCACCACGTCGAGCGCGCGCTGATCCGCGACCGCTCGCAGCCGCGCGTCGATCTCCTCCGCAGCCTGGCCGGCGTCGAGGCCCAGCGCAGCCGCGTGCTCGAGGAGGTGAAGTCCTCCCAGAGGCCCGGCCTGGTCCACACCGAGACCGACGACAAGACCAAGGTCCTCCTGGCCGAACAGAAGAGGAAGCTCGACAAGGGCAAGGAGAAGGAGAAGGACAACGGCGCCGGCGTCTTCCGAGCGCCGCTCGAGTTGCTCTCCCAGGGCACCAACTATTAGGTCTCACCCACACGCACACTCGAGCGGCACATATGTGCCCTCCAACTCTTCACCTTCTTCTTCTTCTTCTAATCTCCTCCACCATCATCCCTTCTCGCATTTCCCTCTGTTCTTGTACAGACTTTGAATATTATAGAATTACGCACATCAACCATCATGAAGTCTCTCTTGTTTTCTTGTTGCCAAAACCTATAAACGACGCGTCAGTCGCGGTTGGCTTCATCGTCGTCATGCGCAGGGTCAGCCGCTTCCCCGTCGGACACATCCTCGGCGTCATCGTCGTCAGGGTCGACGGCGACATCGTCATCGTCCTCAACGAGCCAGCCCCAGTTATCGTTGGCGTAGTCAGTGAAGACCTGGTAGGCCGGCTCGACGTCGGTGAAGGTGCCCGTGATCGGGAGCGGCTTCTCGCCCGTCACCAGGAAGCGGCGCCAGTTGTCGATGAACCGAAACAACTGCCAACCCACCACCACCCAGCAGCGCGCGCGTAGAGAACCGCGTAAGCACAGCGTGGACGACTCATGCCGCCGGCGGCAGAAGGGGAGGAGGCGGTACCGTGTGGTGATCGTAGCGCTCGTAGCGCTCCAGCGGACCCGTGGTCTGGCGGCTGAGCAGCTTCCCCTC